CCTGCTGTAGTCTTGAATGATTTCTTGCATTCTTCAATCAAGATTTAAGCCAAATTACCAAATAAGTTAGGTACTTAAAAAACTGGATGGCAGCATGGAACAGCTTAGCATACTGCTCTGGAAAAGCAGATTCTGGGAACTGGAACCTGAAGATGTTGAGAAGCTTGGAAAAATAAAATCAATGTTCAGGTGTCTCAAAATGGAATAAATGTTTAGTTTTAGATAATCTGACTTGGGAGCACTAAGCCCTAGCCAGTTGTGCAGTTCCTGATGCTGCAGAAGTGATAGTTTTATGCCTGCTAGGATGAAATTAGATCTTTTTCATAATTGTCTTAGTACGTTTATTAATGGTCATTTTACAGTCAGAAGGAAGAAGTAGAAAGATACAAATAAGTTCTTCAAGAAAAATTGGAGCAAACATCTCTGCAGCCTTGATAAGAAAGAGAGCAATGTTATCAGCAATGTTTGGGGAAGGAGCAGAGGTCATCAGGGCCATCAAAAATCTAAACACACTCTTCAATATTTAATTCCCCTCTTGGTAGTATCTAATTGTATCTTGAATGTCTTGAATGACTTTGAAGGGCTGTTGTGCACGTTTATGACTGTGTGTGTATGTGTGGGGAAAAAGGTTTCTGACATCTGTTCTGAATGTGTTTATCTGTTAATTTTAATTCATGCTCACTTGCCTTGTCATCTGTGTTGGCCTGAAATTAGTTTAGATTATCAGAACTATTTAAGATTTTGTGTGCTTCTGTCAAATCCTCTCCAATTGCCTACTTGCTCAGATGTGATGATTCTATTTTAAGCTGTTTCTTATATTTAGAGAGGAGCTGACTGTCTCAGATAAGAGGTTGCTGAATATTCTGAAGTCTCAGTAATTCAGTTATTTTCACCTGGACAGTCGGAATGCATGCCCTCTGCTAGCTGCCACCCATGGTTGAGATTCAGAGATCCTGCTGCAGTATCAATGGGTGATTTTGTCATCTGTGTAGATATTTTAAAGAAACCCTATTCTCCATTTCATACCAAAGAATTAATAGAAATCAGGTGTTTGAATTCTTTTCCATTCTGCTTGCTTGGGGATAAATAATTGCTCCCATGAATAAACTGATGCTTAAGTCAGTGCTTAGGTCCCTCCCTCTTTATATGCCCCTGGGAATATAAGCATGGTCATCGCAGTCAGTGGCCCTGTGTACATTCCTGACTGTTTTGCTGAGTAAAAAAGAAGTAAAATACTTGGCTAAATTAGACATTGAATTGGGATAGTTAAAGGTGAGAAGAACACAGCTCGCTTATTTCTTCATGTTACAGTCCGAATATGAGGTGGCTTTTGCTTGCCAGAAGAGCAGGCAAAGCACTCAGGCTCAATATGGACTAAGATAAAGCAGATAACATTTTTCCTTTCTTGCCTCCAAAACCCCAGCTGGGGAGAACGTAGGCCAGAGTCTAAGAAATGCAAGAACCCCACTTCCTTGGTATGCATGTCTTGGCTCTTTTGAAGTGCTCAATGTGCATCTTCACTGCAAAAAAAAAAAAAGTACTTGGAAAAGCCTCTGATCCAGTCAATGGTATGCCTACTCTGACAGAGGCACAGTGAACCCTTGCTCTTCTATACCATCAAGTACTTTTTTTTTTTTTTTCCTGCTGGTTAACCTTAAATTACTTTTCTTTTGTAAAGGCTTGGTAACGTACAGTGTTGTAGCACTGTGCATCCTTTTAACAGGAATGGCTTCCACTTTCCACTTAGAGAGGTATCAAACAAATTTTCTGAAATGCTGTGGGAAATTGAAGTTGAGTCACTTTCAGTCCGCATTCATAGGAAACTGTTTCACAGGTCTTTTATAATAATAAATGCCAAGGCAATCTAGAGATGTAGTAGGTGTTCTATCATTGTGTATTCCTAATGAGAGGCGAACAATGAAAAGTTCTTTAGAGCCTCTAATTACACAAGTTACAGAACTGGAGCGTTATTTTTTTCTTCTATGCTCTTTTAACAGCCTTCAAGCTTGAAAACATAACAAAGGGTCTGATTCTCAATGGAGACAGTTCATATTTGAATTGATAACGAGGGAACAAAAGCAATATAGTTTTTTCCAGAGAACTTTTCAAAAAAGGTGACAGCTCTGGTGGTACAAAGTGCATAGTTAGGGTAGTCATCACATCTACTGATGAATTTCAGAGGTGGCAAATAAACACTGAAGGATTCATGGGGCTGTGATGTGATATTGAAAACTAATCAGTGGCTTGTGCTTGGGAGAAAGTGCTGTCGGAGAAGCGTGGTTGACTGGGACTTGGGATGACAGTTAACCCTGAGAAGCCATCCCTTTGGCTAACTGCAAGTGTTAAGTTTGCCATGAACTGATGACAAGGTAAAATGTTGACTCACAAGGATAAAAAGAGCCTAGAAACAATGGGTTTTTTGGTGCAGAATGTTGTATAAGTACTGTTGTAACTAAAACATACTGAGAAAGAGGAAATATTTCCTACACGTTTGGATGAGAGGGAAATATAAATAAATAAAAATAAAATCTCCTAAGACAGTAGTAACAATCCACACTAAATTACAATGCAGTATTTTTATAGTGCCTAGCTTAACACACTGCTATGTTACATTGGTTCTGAATAGTAATATCTACCCATAATAAACAAATATAAAACTAATACTGAGTATGAGTTCAAAGGAGAATTATTATTCTAAAGAAGCAAGAAATAGACTAGGATGTCATAGTCTTAGGGGAAACGGTGACAAAGAAAACGTTATAAAACTCGTCTCTTGGATGTTATCTAGAATGCCAACAGAATAGTAATCCTGCTTGGGGAGTATAAATTAGATGCTGAATGGATAAGTTTGGGGAGATGGGTTCCAGTGTTCAGTTTTGATTATAATTATAAAGGCAAAAAAGAGAAGTCTAATACTGTGATTGCATAAATGGCTAAAGGCACTATAACTGTGCCCTTTTTTATCAATATAAAATGTACCCAGGCTTGACAAGGCTGTATCTGGAATACTTGAGTGGTTTTTACCAGACTGTGAAATGAATGAAGACTAGAAGGGATATCTGCAGTTTTCATTAACGGAGTTGGTTCTTTTTTGTGAATTGGATTACAATGAAAGAACAAGCTAACTGGGCACAAGGAAGATACCTTGGTTGTTAGTAAAGTTAATCAGAAGTTTAAGTGCAGAGTTGGACGTTGACACTGAGAAAAGTGTCCTCCTTGCTAACAAGTGTTACATTTTTTAAAAAATGACCTCACAACGCAACATCAGATGATCAGACTCATGAAGTTGGAGTGCACTAAAATTGCTGTCCCAAATACGGGTTCTTCTACCCGGTGTGCAGAGAGCCGAAAAACACACAGAGATGAGATATTTGCTTTTATTCCAAATCTGCGCAGAGCTGGGTGCTAGGTGGTAGGTCCACAAAGCTATCATGCCTCTGTTAACACACAGAAAATATTTATGCACTTTGAGCAATCAAATACTGAGTTACCAGTGTTTTTTAGAAATTGGCTCCGTTACCCTTGTTCCCACTTGTTCTCACAAGCCTCGTCTCCACCTAAAGCCACACCGTCCTTCT